CTCCCCTCCCTCCTTCCCCCTTCCCTCCCCCCCCCCTTCCCTCCAACCCCTCCCCTTCCCTCCTACCCCCCTCCTCCCTTCCCCCCCTCCCCCCCCTTCCCTCCCACCCACCCCTCCCCTCTTCCCATAAAACTTCGGCGTCACTTCGACATTAATCCCCCTCCTCCCCCCCCCCTCCCTCCCTCACCCACCCCCTCCTTCGATAATAACTTCAAGGCGGCAACGAAGGAGGCCTACGCACGCCCGCGCCTATGACGTATAGGGGGGGGGGGGGTAGGAGAAGGGGGAGGGAAGGAGGGGGGTAGGAGAAGTATAGGGGGAGGGAGACAAGTGGGGAAGGTGGGGGTGGGGTATAGGGAGTTTGGGAGAGGGAGGAAGGGGAAGGGGAGGAACGGGGGGTGAGAGAGAGACACATACAGACATACATACATACATACATACATACATATACATGACATCCATCCATCCATCCATCCATCCATCCAGACACATCATCATCCATCCATCCATCCATCCATCCATCCATCCATCCATCCATCCATCCCATACAGACTTACATATCAGACATACAGACAGACAGACTATCCATCCATCCATCCATCCATCCATCCATCCATCCATCCCATCCATCCATCCATCCATCCATCAGACACCATCCATCCATCCATCCATCATCATACCATTATCCATCCATCCATCCATCCATCCATCCATATCATGCAGACTCATCCATCCAGACAGACAGAGATCCAAGACAGAGACAGACAGATAGACAGACTAACAGAGACAGTGAATGAGATAGAGAACTATATAAGCCTCGGTGTTCGATGACGTGTGACAGTAGATTAGTCTATATTGGTGGGATAGAGTGAGCAATAAATCGGGGGGGGGGGGGGGGGGGGGGTGAGCGTGTTCTAGAATGTTCTGTGTTCTCTCGAGGTTGATGACTGGGTTTTTTTTTAGCGGGGTTGGGGGGTGGGGGGCAGGGTATGTCAGGTGGATATGTGATTCCTCTCTCTCTCTCTGTCTGTCTGTCTGTCTCTCTCTCTCTCTCTCTCTCTGTCTCTGTCTCTGTCTCTCTCTCTCTCTCTCTCTCTTTCTCTTTCTCTTTCTTTCTCTCTCTCTCTCTCTCTCTCTCTCTCTCTCTCTCTCTCTCTCTCTCTCTCTCTCTCTCTCTCTCTCTCTCTCTCTCTCTCTCTCTCTTTCTCTCTCTCTCATTCCTTATTCCTCCTTTTCTCTCGTTCCCTTTCTTATCTCTCACCTTCCACGGGGTCAGAAGTGAGATTCAGATGTTGTTGACATGATAAAGCTATCAGAACGAGGGGAAGGGGGGGGGGAGGGAGGAAGGAGAGGAGGAGGAGGGATAGGGAGGGGGAAGAGGGAGTGGGGGTAGGAATGGGGAGAGGAGAGGGGAGGGAGAGGGGAGGGGAGGAGGAAGAGAGGAGGGGTTGGAGAGGAGGAGAGGAGGAGGGGGGGATTGGAGAGAGGAGAGAGGGGGAGGGAGAAGGGAGAGGGGGGTAAGGTGGAAGCGAGAGAAGGACGAATGAACGAAGTGAGGAGAAGGAGCAGGCGAAGAGAAAAATTGTGATAAAGAAGAAATGAGGAAGAACGAAACAAAAAGTAAGAAAGAATGAGAATAGGAAAGCGTCAGAACGTGGGAAGAAGACGACGAAGGGAAGAGAGAGAGAAAGGGAGGAAGAGAGGGGGCGGAAGGGGGGTGGGGGGGGAGGGGAGGGGAGGGAGAGGTGACAACAGACCAGGTAAAGTTCGTTATCAGTGACAGCTGCCCCATTGAACAAACTGCTACGATTCCGAAGTCTTGTTTGGACACGGCGCTGAGGAAATGCGACCTGCTTTTTTTTGTTTTGTTTTTGTTTTGTGTATTTCCTTTGATTGGTTGAGTCTGTTTCGAATTTTTGTATAATATATCTTATCGTTGCTGAGTAGAGTTCTGAGTATGGTGTCGCGCGCACGACGTACAGTCTATCTGCGTGAGATGTATTGGTGTGGTTATTGAAAAAGTTAGTGATGTAAGTTACATAAGGCGAGGAGCATGCAAGAGATGGGAGGAGTTAGTAGGGGAGGCGAGCAAGCTAGTTCACGTTGATGTGTTCTGTGTGATGCAGTTCGGTCGTGGGGCCGGAGGTCAAATCTTCCCTTCTCCTCGGTCTCCCTCTTTCTCTCATCTCTGTCCCCCGAGTCGACGCCAGAGGGGGGGTATCGGACGTACCGAAGTCCTCCGTCTCCCCTCTTCCTCCCGCGCTGCGGGTGCCCCAGGCGATAGAGGGGCGGTCGGCGCGGCGAAGCCCTATTCGCCGTACGCTGCTGGTGTGCTGCCGCTCCCATGACTTGGAAGAGCGCCGGGCCAAGCTCACGCGTGTGTCACAACTCAGCTTTGGGCCCCTGCACCATCGATCCGAACGACAGCTACTGTCCATCCGCGACGCCAACGTGATTCGGGACGAAGTTGCTCGCTGTCTCACCCTCCCCTCCCCAACCAGCCGCTCTACGAGGTCATAGGCACAGCGGTCGATCCACTCAGTGTATCTCACGATGACTGTCAGCACTAGTTAGATCTAATGAGCAAGATAATGCCTCGAATCATGACACGGCGTCTTATCTCCCTGATCTGGCGAAGCCGGTGTCCACTTTTATGACACTGCTCCTTATCCTCCACCGGGGAATCAACGCCAGAATAGTCATGGATTACCTGTGTGATTAGCGACAAAATCTCAGACGCGGTGGAGAGGGAGAGAGGAAGAGAGGGAGGGGGGGGGAAGTGGGGAGGGAGGGAGACGGAGAGAGGGAAGAGGAGAGAGAGAAGAGGGCGAGGAGAGAGAGAAGGGAGGGGAGAAGGGGGGGGGGGTGGGCGGGGGGGGGTGTTGTGGGAGAGGGAGAAGGGGGGGAGGGAGGGAGAGGGAGGGAGGAGGGAGGGAGAGGGGAGGGAGAGGGGAGGTGAGGAGGGAGGGAGGGAGAAGAGGAATTAAACTGAAGGGAGGGAGGGAGGAGATGAATTAAAGATAAGGGAGACAAGGAGGGAGGGCGGGGGAAGGGGATGTAAGATGAAAGGGACGATACGAATAGAGTACACTTAGATAGATAGATCGATAGAGAGGGAATAGAGATAGATAGATAGCAAGGGAAAAAAGAAGAAATAGCGATGGAGAGAAAGAAGAAAGGAGATCCCTCCTCCTCGAGCTGTCTTCTTCCTCCCGGCCAATCTCCTCCTTCCCTATCTCCTCCTCTTCCTCCTCCGTCCTCTGCCTTCTCAAAGTGGGACCGTGCCGCACATAGGAGGCCATATACAGTCTAGTTTTCGATACACATCAAAGGCGAAGATCCTCGTGACGTAAATGATAAAGAAACAGGGCAAGAATTACTGAGATATGATTCAAGTTCTCTTCCGATTGGGATTGTATGGGTGTACTTGGCTGCGTAAGGTACTCTTCGTTCTCGTTTTATTCTAAAATCCACTCCCATTATTTGTTTGTCCCTGTCTGTTATCTCGCTTGGTGTTCCTCTGTTCTGCTTTCTGTCTGCCTGTCTTTCTGTTTTTCCTCTATTTCTTTGTCCTGTCTGCCTGTCTTTCTGTTTCCTCTATCCTCTTTTCTGTCCTGTCTGTCTTTCTGTTTTCCTCTATCTCGTCTTTTCTGTCTGTCTCTGTTTGCTTCTCTGTCTCTTTTTCTTGTTGTTCTTACTGCTGCTCCTCTGTCTCTCTCTTCCTCCTCTCCTCTCCTCTACAATCTCAAAAAACATAAAATATAACACAATTACGAAAATAAATCACTCCAACCCCCCCCCTCTCCGCATCGCCCTCTCTCCCCCCCAGGTGGTGTCCGATCACCGTGCCGGCCTCCGCGGGTGCCGACCGGGTCGCAGGCGGTCGTGCCGTCCTTCTCTTTCTCGCTCTGATCTCTCTTGCTGTTTAGTCAACCGGAGAAAGTCTGGGCATCCACCTCTTCTTTCCAGGCTCGCGACACATCCGAGTTGCCGTGACATCATCTCGCGGCGCGCCGTCTGACACGGGCAACCTGTGGCGGCACCTTGCCTGGCTCGCCCGGACGATCTTTTGCTGATGTCCGTAGCGCCATTCTCGCCTCCTCTTTCTCCGGGATCACGCCAGATAGTCATGGATTACCTGTGTGATAGTGACAAATCTCAGACGCGGTGGAGAGGGAGAGAGGGAGAGAGGGAGGGAGGGAGGGGAGGGAGGGAGGGAGGGAGGGAGGGAGGGAGGGAGGGAGGGAGGGAGGGGGGGGAGGGGGAAGGGAGGAGGGAGGGAGGGAGGGAGGGAGGGAGGGAGAGGAGGGAGGGGAGGGGTGAGAGGGAGGGAGGAGGGAGGGAGGGAGGGAGGGAGGGAGGGAGGGAGATGAAAGGGAGAGGGAGGGGGAAGAGGGAGATGAAGATGAAAGGGACGAACGATAGAGGTATAGATAGATAGATAGAGAGATAGATAGAGAGATAGATAGATAGATAGAGAGAGAGACAAAGTAAAGGAAAAAAAAAGAAATAGAACGAGAGAGAAAGAGAAGAGATCCTCCTCCTTCTTCCTCTTCCTCCATCTCCTCCTTCCCTTCAAAGTGACCGTGCCGCACATAGAGCCATATAAGTCTAGGTTTTCGATAACACTAAAGGCCGAAATCCCGTGACGTAAATGATAAAGAAAAGGGCAAGAATATGAGATAATAAGTTCTCTTCCATTGGGATTTATGGGTGATGGCTGCGTAAGGTATTTCGTTTATTATGCCCATTTATTTGTTTGTCTGTCTGTCTATCTGGTTTCCTCTATCTCTTTCTGTCTGTCTGTGTCTCTCTTCTGTCTCTCTGTCTCTCTCTTTCTCTCTCTTTCTGTCTTCTCTCTCTCTCTCTCTTTCTTCTCTCTCTCTTCTTCTCTCTCTTCTCTCTGTCTCTCTGTCTCTCTTCTCTCTCTCTAAAAATGAAAAAAAAATTATCAAAATAAATCAAATCCCCCCCCCCCCCCTTCTCTCTCTCCCCCCCAGGTGGTGTCGATCCGGTCCGGCCTCCGCGGGTGGCTCGACGCCGGAGAAATGGGCAACTGGCTCCGACACATCCGAGTTGCCGCGGCGCCCGTCTACGGCAACCTGCGGCACCTGCTGCTCGCCGGACAGATCTTCTACGAGGCCATCCGGGATATTTCGCAGTCAGAGGAGCTGCTGCTGATCCGCAAATCGGTTATTGATCTGGATACGTCGGCCATTGGTGAGTTTTCGCAGTTTTCGATTTTTTTTTTTTTTTGGGGGGGGGACTCTTTTTTTCCTTTTTTTTATCTTTTTCATTCTGATCTCTCTCTTTTTTTTTTGGCTTCTGTTTTCCTACTACTTTTTTTTCTTTTCTTCTTTCCTACTTCTGTCTTAACAATCTCTCTCCTCTCCTTTTTTCTTCCATTCTTTCTCCATCTATCCCATCTCCCATCTCCCTTCTCAGTGCTCAAAAGTGATAATTCTCCCACAATCCCCATCCCGAATGTCCGCAAAAAAACTCAAAATTCATCAGCCTTTTCGTCTCCCTTTCGCCCGCAGACGACCAAGTACAAGTGGGATCGCCCGAAGAAAAGTCAGAGAACACGGGCGACGACTGTGACGACGAGGACGAGGACGACGACATTTCGCGACACAGGTGCTTGCAGTGCGACAAACACTTCGGGGATTATGACGAGTGAGTGGAAGGCTTTCGGTTGTCGTTTTGGGATGTTTGTTTGAGTGTTTATATGATGAGGGGTTGTTTATATATGTTTGGGGTGTTTTATATTCATTCACTTCTGTTCGCACCTTTCCCATGTTCTGTCCTCTCCTCCCCCCCGCCCCGCCCCGCCCTAACCGCCGCCCTCTCCCCCGCAGGCTGGACGAGCACCTGGTCACCGCCCACGGCTACTCGGCCGGCCAGTACCGCTGCGACTACTGCCCGCGCGCCTTCGCGTGGCGGCCCAACCTGATCCAGCACAAGACGATCCACGGCGAGTACAAGCGCTACCCGTGCGAGAACTGCCCGCGCGTCTTCACGGACGCCATGGTGCTGCAGAAGCACATCCGCAACCAGCACGCGGGCGCGCGCTCGCACGCCTGCCCCGAGTGCGGCAAGACCTTCGCCACGAGCTCGGGCCTCAAGCAGCACACGCACATCCACTCGTCCGTGAAGCCCTTCCAGTGCGAGGTGTGCTTCAAGGCGTACACGCAGTTCAGCAACCTGTGCCGCCACAAGCGCATGCACGCCGACTGCCGCCTGCAGATCAAGTGCACCAAGTGCGGCCAGGCCTTCTCCACCGTCACGTCGCTGGCCAAGCACAAGCGCTTCTGCGACACGGCGCCCTCGCTCTCGCTGCCGCCCGGCCACCCCAGCATGCACGACAAGCTGTCCCACGGCGGCCTCTCCATGAACAGCGTGCCCTCGTCGCCGCCCAACCCCTTCATGATGTACCCGCGGCCGCCCCTGCCGCTGCTGCCGCCCTCGCTCCTGTCCGGCTACCCCATGTTCCCCTCGCTGCCCGGCCTGGTGGGCGGCCCCCAGCACCCGCTGCTCACCTCGTCCCTCCTGCTGCCCTTCCAGAACTCCGGCTCCAACGGCGGCCGCGACGCGTCCTTCTCGGCCCCGAAGGAGGAGAAGGAGCCCGCCGACTTCGGCGCGCGCATGGACATCTCGCCGCGCCCCGACCCGGCGGAGTCGCCCGCGCGCGAGCCGGCGGCGCTGCAGCCCCCGCTGCGCCGCTCGCCCTCGCACTCGCCCAAGCAGGCGTCCGTGTTCCCGCTCGGGGAGTCGCCGCGCAGATCGGAGCCGCACGACGCCCCCGACGAGCTCAAGCAGCCGTCGCCGCCCGAGCGCCGGCGCCAGACCACGCCCGAGCCGCCCGCGAAGGAGGTCAAGGTGGAGTCGTCGCGCGCGCCCGGCGAGCGCAAGGAGCAGCCGCTCGACCTGACGCTGCGGCGCGGCAAGGACGGCGGCGAGCGCGACGACCTGTTCCTGGGGCGCCTCGAGAGCATGTCGCACAGCAGCGACTCGGCCGAGGAGAGACTGCGCTCGCCGGCGCCGCTGGAGGTCAAGTCGGCGGAGGAGCCGCGGCCGCGCCCCGACCACCCGTTCCTGCGCATCAGCGAGCTCCTCAAGGACACCACCACCACCTCCGTCGCGCCCGCCCCCCCGCAGCCCCCCTCTTTTTTAGACGCGCCCAGCAAGCTCCCGCTCGCGTACCCGCGCCCGCTCCACCCCGCGGCGCTGCTTGACATGTACCGCAACCTGGACCGCAGCCTGGACCGCAGTCCGCTGCTGCCCGGCGCCGGCCTGGGGGGCGCGCGCTACCCGATGCTTCCCCCGTACTTCCCGCACAACAACATGGCCGGCATGGGCCTCGGCCTCAACCGCACCACGGGGCTGGACATGCTCAAGGCGCACATGTCCAACACGGGCCGCCCCTACGGCGACATCAGCCGCCCCTACGACCTCATGGCGACGCACATGCCCCGCGCCAAGGACCGCTACGCATGCAAG